ATACCCCCCCCCCAAAAAAAAGGTACTGAGTTCCTAGAAAGAGTGCAGAGAAGAGCAACATAGATGCTAGAACAGTGATTCTCAACCTTTCTAATGCCGTGACCCCATAATACAGTTCCCCATATTGTGGTGACCCCCAACCACTTATACATCACCGGGTGCCAGGGGCGTGGCCAAAGAAAAGGGGAAAAAAATGGCGGACAGCCTTGTTTGGCGACCCCCGTGAAATGGTCGTTCGACCCCAAATGGGGTCCCGACCCACAGCTTGAGAACCACTGGGCTAGAAGGTCTGGAGGCTAAATCATACAATGAATGTGAAGGGATTTTATTGTGCATATGATTTTAGTATGTTTAAGTTTGACATTAGCATTTATTTTATATCTAGTAACCATTTTATGTTGATAACTTATAGTGTTCTCATGTAATCATTGTTTTGTTATTTTGTAATCATTATTTTATAGTTAATTGCTTGATCAGATGCTTTATATATACATATACGGGTATATTGGAAAAGTAAGGGCTTCGTGCTTTAGGTACAGGTGATTGCTTATATGAAAAGAGCACAGCAAGGGGAGGGGGAAAAGGAGTTACGGATGGAGCCTGGGTTGCTGTGTATGAGTCATCATCTAAGAATTGTTTTTTTGTGCCATCTTATGCCTGGTACCAAGACCTGATCTCTTTGTTCTGAAAAGGTATAAAAGGTGGAAGACATCTTTTCTGGTTGTTGCCTTCATCTCTCTACCAGCCACGAAGAGAGATGGGGGTCACCCAACTCAATTCTGATCAAAATAAAAGTTGTTTGCTTGCTGAAACCTCATCTCAGGAGTTTCTTTGCCTCTTTTAAATTCCTGAATAATGCTGGGGCCATTGTGAGGCTAAGTGGAAAACCTTACAAATGGCTAAGGGAAATAGGATGAAAGTATGCCGTGGCTTATGGTCATTGGTTTCTGCAGACCACTTCAAAGAAACAATACATACCAAGCTGTTTTTTAAGTCCCGAAATAAAAAGAGAAAAATCTTCAAAACAACTGAAACCCACAAAATCGGATTTCTGTAAAATAACTAAACTCTATTTATAAAGTGCTAAGTGTCATACTGGACAGTATTCCAATGAAGTGGTTCATCCCAGTTAAATGATTGGGAATAAAATAAGCTAATCAAGGATGGAAATTGATCAAGGAGAGAAGCAACTAAGAACTAAGGAGAAACTTCCTGACAGTTAGAATAATTAACCAGTGGAACAACCTGCCTCCAGAAGCAGTGAATGCTCCAACACTGGAAGTTTTTAAGAAGAGACTGGACAGCCATTTGTCTGAAATGGTGTAGGGTTTCCTGCCTGAGCAGGGGGCTGGACTAGATGACCTCCAAGGTCCCTTCCAACTATTATTATTATTATTATTATTAACAAAACGTATATTGAATATTAAGACGGTGGATTCAGGATCATCCTATTTGTTCACAGTTAACTCTAATTACCAGCCAGATTTGGTTAATGAATTTTAATATTTTCAAAAGAGAATGTTGTTAAAGTTTTATTTAAAAAAGAAGAAGAATATAATCATTGGCAATTCTTCATTGTTAAATGTAATTTTGAGAGACGTAATTCAGAGAGACACTGAAAGGTAATAAATTGGGATCTGTGTTCAGGTCCTTGTTCACTGTGAAGCCCTGGACTAGTTAATGTCTTTGCCCTTTGCCGTATATTCTATTTCATCTGGAAGAAGAATGGGCTTAATATGTCACAGAATTGTAAAAAAAGAAATCCTTTTTCAAGTCGATAAGTCAGGCGCTGAGTTATATTAAGAAGGTATAAGGATATGTAATTATTGGTCCCACAGCTGTTCAAAATGTTCTGTCTCACACCTGCTGGTATAAATAATCATATATTCTAATGTTCCATTATTGTAAATATGATGGTTTTTTAAAAAAAAATCATATTATTAGGAGAAATAGTGCCACCTGGTGGCCGAATCTCACAAGCTAGTTTTCCAGGCTCGTGATTAACGTTATTTATACATAGTGCTTAATGTACCCATTGCTTTCAATTAGGATGGGTTAGGTGGGAATATTAAGATTCACTGCGAACAATGGAGGAATGAATCAAAATGCTACTTTGTGCTTCCTGACCCCCCTTGCTTTTCATTTTAAAAAAAAATATTATTCATTTTTTTTTCATACGAACAATAATAATTTTTCAACCAACGTGCTGAGTTTACATATGCTAATACATGTTTAATTCCTAATCCTTTTTTCTTTCCTCTAGCCAATGGTAGAACAAATTCCAGGTTTGATAATAGTCCATTTCTTCCTTTTCTTTCAGTTTCATAATCATTCTGTCCATCTCTGCGCATTCTAGTATTTTTTTTAATTATTTCTTCATCTGATGGTACTCCTTCATTCTTCCAGTATCGCACAAATAGGATTCTTGCCGCTGTTGTAACATGCAAAGTCAAATATAGGCTTTGTTTAACAGTCTTTTCTGGCATTATACTTAATAAAAAAATGGAAAAATGTTTCCCTTGCTTTTCAACTGACAGCTTGGAAAAGAAAGAGTTAATCCTGTTTGACTTACATCGATCCATTGGAAATTGAAAGGAGGTTAAATCGAATGAACGTAAATTTTGCTATAGAATACAGGCATTCCTCAACTTACGACAGATTGTTTAGTGACCGTTACAATGGCACTATCAAAAGTGACCTATGACTGTTTTTCATACTTACGACCGTTGCAGCATCCCCATGGTCACGTGATCAAAATGGCGACTGACTCACATTTATGACGGTCGCAGTGTCCTGGGGTCAAGTGATCCCCTTTTGCAAACTTCTGAGAAAGAGAGTTGATGGGGAATCCAATCCACGTAACCACTGTGTTACTAGCTAAATAAATGCAGTGATCCACTTAACAGCTGAGGCAAGGAAGGTCGTAAAATGGGGCGAAACTTCGCTTGTCTCACTTAGCAACCGAAATGTTGTGTAAGTTGTGTAAGTTGTGTAAATGTAAGTTGAGGACTGCCTGAATGCAGTTATTTCTTCCTAAGCCTTGGTGTCTTCTGTGATGGTTTTCCCCCTACCCTTTGTTTTAAAATATTTAAGTTTTGATTTTATGAACCGCCCTTCCAGGGAGCAATCATCTAATACAGGGGTCCCTAACCCCCGGGCCCTGGATCAGTACCGGGCCACGGCATGCCAGCAACCAGTCCACACAAACAAGCAAAGCCCCATCTGTGGGATGCAGGCAACACACAAAACCACACCCCCTCCAGTCCGCGGAAAAACCTCTCTCCACGGAACTAGTCCCTGGTGCCTCTGATCTAATGTAGAGTGATTTGTTCCTCTTGTGATCTCCAGCTCTACAAGGCAAAACCACCGCTCTCCTTCTGAGGCTCCAGTTTTTAAATCCATACGGTAGGGGTCCCCAACCTCTGGGCTGTGGCCCACTAGTGGGCCGTGAGCTGTTTGCTACTGGGCCACCGAACTGTTTGCATGAACATTTGCATGAGCGACGTGCATGCATGCATGCCACTCAAGCAAATGGAGCTGTGTTGTGATTCCTCGCCAGCCAGTGGACCTAGCAGCTGAGTCAGAGAAATCAGAGGAGGAGGCAGAGGGGCCTGGGGTGACATCTGAGTCAGAGGAAGGCTCTGAGGAGCTCCAAGACTTACAGTCGGACGAGGAGCCTGGCCCCTCTACTCACGCTCAGGCTGAGACACAGCTGTGCTGGGAGCCTGAGTTGGACAATGATGAAGAACAGCTGGGACAAATCCAGGATGCACGTAAACGCTGACAAGAAAAAAGAGTAGGACAGAGGGATGCAATGGGGCGGTTCCAAAGGCAAAGGAGAAGGCATTAGGAAGCCACACCTTGGCTGCGTAATAAAAGGGAAGGTGTGGGAGGTGCTGGTTGCCAAAGGCAACCATTCGTGTTAAGGAATCGAGTTTCCGTGAACTGTATTTTGTTTGCCTTGGACATGGACTCAGGTCTGTGAATAATAAAAGGGGATTGTTTTTTTCCTGCGGTTCCAGCCTGCTTGTTGGAAGAGGGGTTTCTCCTTGTGAGCTCAACAAGGACTCACGTAGGCTGGGACAGAACAAGCTGCTTGTGCACACACCCTTGCCAGCAGATCAAGCAGAACCATCGCCTCTGCCTCCCCCCCCCCCCCGCCAGTCCACAAAGCCGAAAAAGTTGGGGAACTCTGCATATGTTACAATTTGGGAAAACGTGGCATGTTTATCGTCAGGGTGCTGTGTCTGCAGTTTAATGGTTTCTCTATACAGGTTGTCCTTACCTTACAACAGTTTGTTTAATGACCGTGCAAAGGCACTGAAAAAAGTGAGTTATGACCGTTTTTCACCCTTACAACCATTGCAGCATCCCCCGTGGTTACGTGATCCAAAATTCAGACACTTGACAACTGATTCATATTGATGACGGTTGCAATGTCCCCGGATCATGTGATCCTCTTTTGCGACCTTCTGACAAACAAAGTCCATGACTGTGTGGCTAACTTAACAACTGCAGTGATTCCCTTAACAACTGTGGCAAGAAAGGTTGTAAAACGGGGCAAAGCTCTCTTAACAAATGTCTCGCTTAACGGCAAAAAATTTGAGCTTATTTGTGGTTGTACGCCGAGGGCTACCTGTACACTCGCTGTCCCCAATAGCTGTGTTTTATGAGGCATAGTCAGTGGTGGGATTCAGCCAGTTCACACCAATTCGGCAGAACCGGTAGCTATTTTTTTTGTTGCCCAGGCCCAGAACGGACTTCCGGAAGTGGCATCCACACAGAGGTTGTTCACATATTTGAATCCCATCACTGGGAAAGGCCCCATTTCTCTACATTGCTGAGAGTAGGAAGATGAAGTGTGGTACTGTTTCAATTTGTTGTCGTTTTGTCGTTGTGCCTATTAGCATCTTGGAACAAGGAAAATGGTTGTCTAATCTTTTATGGGCAATGTCATCAGCACTGTTCCTGAACGTAGCTCTCTGTTGTGTGCACAATAGGGTCTTTTGGGAGAAAAATACGGAGGTATCCGGATACCGGGGGAAGTGGAATCGTCAGAGTTTGAAATGATTCTGGATGCAGCTATTGAGGCCAAGCTGGAAACCAAGATTTTGGAAGAGTGCTACTGCCGGGATGAGAATGCGGTGCCCCCAACTTATTACCTCAAACCAAAATCTGAAATTCTGAAGATCAATCCCAATATGGTAAATCTTCTTCACTTGATGTTGATTTGAGACTTGTGTCTAGGTAGAAGGCGTGTTTTCATAATAATCTTCTTGCAGGGCAAGAGATGGCAGAACCTGAAGGTGGAGTCAAAAGAGGGACCAGCTTAGAATCCCTACGTAGCCACAAGCAGACAAATTCCAACATCCCCTTGAATTCTGTTGATCCTTATTTAACTCCAACTGATTGCTTGAGAAGTTGAGAAGATCGTAGGCTGTTAGTTGAGAAGATCATGGGCTCTTTAGCAATAAATCAGCTTGATCGGATCTTCGCTGGTGGACCTGGTCTTTCGCGCCTGATGGTTCTTCTGAGAATTGTAGTTTTCTGAAGAGGGTAAAATTAGCTGACCTCAAAACCTCAGCCGTTCTCACCAAAGTTCCCAAGATACCTTTGTAAAAGTCATGGCCAATTGGTGTCCATTACAGTAAATATAAACTTGATTAGCGAGTTACTTTGTCCAGATTGCTGAATGTGTGAGCACTCTGTTTTATCCTTCACTCCCTGTCAGTGTCACTCAAATGGTGTAGGAGAGACCTCAGTCTCCACAAGGTGAACATCTTCGTACATAAAGCTGGACATGTGTCCTTCCTGTAAGTAAGAACATTGATAAAGAGAAAATGCTTCAGGAAATCAAGATGGTTTAAGTGAAATCAAGAGCTTACATTTTTGTATTCCAAATGCAAAGCATAGATTCCATGCTAATCTACCCTAACATTCACAGGACTTCCCATATTTATTTTTCTCTCCTTCTCTCTCTATTTTTCTCGTTTTCTATTAAATAATCAGGACAATGCTTGTCAGGCACGAAAGATCAGGTCCACACAGGAAGCTCCAATTAAAGTGATTTGTTGTTATCCATGCCTTGGAACAGGAATTTTCTCAAAGGTTACCACCTACTAGGAGTTAGATAACGGTCAATGGAATTCAAGAGGGGTTGGCCTAATTCGCTTGTGGCTACGTAGGATTCTAGGATGATCCCTCTTTTAACTCCACCCCCAGTTTCTGTCACTCTTTCTTGTATAATGTTATGCATATGATCTGAAATACATAAAATGTTCAAAAGCTGCACTGGCTTATGGAGATGTATGCCTATCAGCTGTTAAATGTAAGAAATGCTTTATCACAATCCACCTCTAAGCAGGCAAGGGCCCATAATACAGACAGAAATAGAACCAATTCCACTCGGCATTCTTCCTGACAATCAGGAGAAGAATTGGTCATTATAGGAATAAATTGTCCCACTCCTCAGTTATGGCGTTCGGCTATAATACAATGATATCCCAGACCTATTCAGAGTTGTTTACTAGGGGTGCAAGGGGTGACTGAGCTCAGTTGGAAAAAATGATTTTAATATCATCTGCCAATAATGGTCTTTGTATTTCAAACGGAACACCTCTTAAGGTGAAATCATGTAGATGTTTAGTCAAGTACAACAAGGGTCCCCAACCCCTGGTCCATGGACCAGTACTGGGTCACGGCATGACAACAACCGGTATGCACAAACAAGCAAAACCCGATCTGTGGGATGCAGGCAGCACCCAAAACCACACCCCCTCCGGTCCGCGGAAAAACCTCTCTCCACGTAACCGGTCCCTGGTGCCCAAAAGGTTGGGGACCCCTGAACTACAAGGAAGAAAATAGTTTTTCCTACAGTAGTTTTCCATTGATGCAAGAGTAGATCAGTGGTTCTTAACCTTTTTGAATGAATTGCCCCCTTGAGCCAATGAGGAAGTTGTCATCGCCCCCCTCCCCCAACATAACCTCTCAGTCACAACACAGGAAATAATTCTTCAATTTATGCAAACCCTTTTTTTGTTTTCTTTAAAATTGTCATCAGGACCTATTGATGCAAATAATTTATTTCCAGTCTTTTCCCCATATCTCAATTGTTTGAAAATTTTTGGTGCCACCCGTCACTTTATTCCCAAACTTTGTGATACATGTATTTCATTATTATCTTATTTATTCAAGACATTTTAATGTAATGACCACTGAAAACAAAATTCAATTGCAAGGAAGTGAATTCCCCGAAAAGAAAACCAGTAATAGTTAATGATTGAATTACAAGTGAAATTTAAGACGCAAAAAAAAATATAAAAAGGGCATAAGAACAAACCGCAATGCGCATGAAGATAAGTGATGCATCTTCACATATGTATGGCGTTCTGTACTAAAGCTAGCTGGAGGAACATTTGAAAAAACAATTCAATCCACTAAGAGCGAGCGATCTGATGTTTTCGTACGACAGATATACAGCGATTCACTGTACGAAAAAGTCTCAAAAGTATCCCCAAAACTTCTCGCTCCATCGCCCCCATATTGCCCCCTTTTTGTTCCTTCGCCCCCGCGTCACCCCTTTTTGTTTCATTGCCCCCCTGAAAAACGAAATCGCCCCCTGGGGGACGATATCGCCCAGGTTAAGAACCACTGGAGTAGATGACTTGCAGTTGGGTTGACTTGGTTTAGCTAAGGTTGATTAAAGCCTCAGGTGTTCCAGAAAGGATCTAGAAAGTTCCTGGCTAAACCTTAGGACTTACTAGAAATTCAGGAATAGATCCAAGAAAATACACTTTTTCAGATCTAAATTCCCACTCATAGAATACTAGGGTGGGAAGCGACCTTAGAAGTCTTCTAGTCCAACTCCCTGATTAAGGCAGAAGACCTTATACCATCCCAGTCAAATAACTGCCCAGTCTATTTTTGAAAGGGTCTAGGACAGGGGTAGGCAACCTTGGCTCTTTTATGAGTCGTGGACTTCAACTCCCAGAATTCCTGAGCCAGCCATGCTGAGGGGAAAGGGAGAGGTTTCCAAGCTGAGCCAGGCTGGCTCAGGAATTCTGGGAGTTGAAGTCCACGAGTCATAAAAGAGTCAAGGTTGCCTACCCCTGGTCTAGAACAATTAGCCACGGCTAATTCACCACAGCCACTTCACCACGGCCTTCTTGCATCAGCCAACTCACCGCAACCATTTTTTCACAGCCAGCCTGCCGTGGTCCTCTCACCACGGCCATCTCTCTGTGGCCAACTTGCCATGGACAATTCCACGTGGGATAACTCAACACAATAGATGTTATTTGCCACTGTTTCTTCAACATTATTTCCATTTTTTGTCAATGGAAATAATGTCAAGGAGACACTGGTAGATAACATTTCGTGTGTTGAGTTATCCCGTATGGAATTAACCAGAGCTAGTTGTCCCATGGTGAGTTGGTTCCAGCGAGCTGTCTCACGGCAAATTGGCTGATGCAAGAGAGCCATAGTGAGATGGCCGAGGTAGGTTGGCCACAGTGAAGTAGCCATGATGAGTTAACTACGGTGAGGTGGCCATGGAGATTTGGCCATGGCAAGTTGCCCCATTCTGTTGTTGAAAACCTCCATTGATGGAGCACCCACAACTCCAGGAAGTAAGCTATTCCATTGATTAATTGTTTTCACCACCAGGAAATGTCTCCTTAGTTCTAAGTTGGTTCTCTTTAACAAGTGTCCACCATTACTTCTTATCCTGTCCTCTGGTACTTTGGAGAATAAGTCAATCCCTTCTTCTTTGTGACTGTCCCACAAATACTGGAAGGCCACTATCCAGTCCCTCCCGATCCTTCTCTTCAATAGGCTGGTCAAACTTAGTTGAGTGAAACTAGTCATTCCTTCACTTGTCCATCCAAGTTTTTTGTTTTATGTTTAGAAGTCCTTCAAGTTCTCAGCCCTGGGGAGAGGGAGAGATAGGGAGGAAATAACAGCATGGGAGAGTTGCCATGGAAACTTTCCATCATTAAGAGTTTGTGCAAAACCTTGTCCCTCCCTGCTGGTGGTTGCCATGGAGACCATTTTTTCAGACAGATGGGGCAGGAAAAGGAGTGCAAATCCCCTAGATTCTGAGTTGAATTTTTCTATGGGGAAGTGACTAGAAACTTATATTTTTCTTTTTAAGTACAATAAACTATGCTACGTGCGCCCAGCACATGCCTATTCTACTATTGTCTGTTCACGTATAACTAAAATTCAGATGTTTGGCAATTGGCTCATATTGTTCTATCCCAGCCTATTGCCGTCCTTGTTAAAGGCACAAGGACCAAACCCCTGCTGATACAATAGGCTGGAGACTTTAAAACAAAACAAACCCCTTTTAATATGGGTAACAAACCTGTCAAATAGTCCAAAACACAAATAGCAAAACTCAAGTCCAAAGGAAGGAAATAGTCCACAGGAAACACGATGCAAACAGAAGAGTAGTCACAAGCAAGATGAACCGACCAGGATTCCAAGAAGCACTTTGCAAACGGTTGCCTTCAGCAACCAGCACCACCCACACCTCCTCTTTTTATACAGCAGTCCCAAGGCGTTGCCTCTCAGTGCTTTCTCCTTTTACTCTGGAGTTGCCGTATGGACTGCTGCTGATTTACTCTCGCTAATTTACGACGTGTGCGAGCATCAATTAGCAAGTCCATCAGGTGTGAGTCCTCCGAGTCTGACTCATTCTCCTCACACAGCTGAGCTTCATCAGGAACACAACTGGAGGGCTCAGGCTCTGCATCAAACCGTGAGTCCTGTAATTCATCAGAGCCTCCCTCTGCCCCTGATGGCTCTTCAAATACCTCCTCCACCTCCTGCTTAGAGTCCTCAGACTCAGCTGTTTGGAGCACTGGCTGGCACAGAATCACAACACATATTTATGATGGTCGGAGTATCCTGGGGGCCGTGTTGATCCCCTTTTGTGACCTTCTGACAAGCAAAGTCAATGGGGGGAAGCCAGATTCGCATAACAACAATTTGACTAATTTAACTACTACAGTGATTCACTTAACAACTGCGGCAAGCAAGGTCCTAAAATAGGGCAAATGTTTCACTTAGCCACAGAAATGTTGTGCTCCATTGTGGTCGTAAGTCAAGCACTACCTGTGTAATCCATGTACATATCCTTTTCACCAATTGCCAAACATTTGTGTGTTCAATTTAGATTTTGCTGGCAAAGAGTTAAAGGGAGACTAGTATAGCTATATCGAGCTATTTAGCTCTCCTCAGCTAGCCATACCCTTCTGAGAGTCGAACCCGGGCCACCTGCACGTTAGGTAGCTGTGTTAACCTCTAGGCCATGGGTTCTCCTCGCTTTTGTCAGCTGCGCCATGAAGGAGAAATTAAGTGTTTTCCAGTAAAGCTGGTCTATCAGAACACCTGATCTACGAAGCAGAAAGAGAGAGAGAGAGAAAGAGAGAGAGAAAGAGAGAGAGAGAGAGATGTTTTTACTTAATAGAAGTCTACTAAGTCACCAGGTCTCCAACTTGTGACTGGTAACAATCTTCAGCCTTTCTTGGTGAGAACCAGCTTTTTTGTTTCTCTTTGAAGACGTTTCACTTCCCATCCCAGAAGCTTCTTCAGCTCTGACTGGATGGTGGGAAATGGAAGGATTTATACTCCTGGTAGACAGCTGGTCATTTGCCTTCTTTTAGAGAGTCGTTGAGGCCACTTCGAGGTTTATCTGCGTCCTCAGGATCACCTGAGTGGTATGGAGTCTTCTTGGTGTTGCTGAAAGGGTTATAGGAAGACTCCACACCCATTGGCACCACTCAGGTGACCCCGAGGACACAGATATACCTCCAAGTGGCCTCAACGACTCTCTAAAAGAAGGAAAATGACCAGCTGTCTGCAAGTCCAGTTCCTCTTGAAAAAGCACCTTTGGGTCAACCATGACCTGGATAATGGAAAATCTCCACAGATATTCTTGGTGAGATACTGTATAAAAGTTTAATACCATCACCGATCACCAAGCTTTCGTCAGATACTTCTGACATCGTCAGGGTTAATGCTGGTCTGTGGAAGAGTGCCTTTATAGGTGAGCAGGTCAGAGGAGGAGGAATGTTAGAAAAGAGAGGATGGACAGAAATGGATGAACAACAGGCAAGTCAGCAGATTATGGGGAGGACATTGGAGAGGGGAAGATGGACAGTGGGGTGAGGTGGCTGGATGGAGTCACTGAAGCAGTAGGTATGAACTTAAATGGACTCCAGTCCTTCCTTCTCATTAGGTGGCCAAAGTACTTGAGTTTCAACTTCAGGATCTGGCCTTCTAAAGAGCAGTCGGGGTTGATCTCCTCTAGGACTGACCAGTTTGATCGCCTTGCAGTCCAGGGGACTCGCAGGAGTCTTCTCCAGCACCATAGTTCAAAGGCCTCCATTCTTTGGCGCTCGGCCTTTCTTATGGTCCAACTTTCACAGCCATACATTGCACCTGGGAGAACCATGGCCTTGACATACAGTCATTATAATAGCCATATCTTTGTTAAAGCTCACCTCTACGAGTCTTCCTTTATTCTGAATATGGGCTATACAGTTTCTTACCTGTTGTCAAAAATTTATGCTCCCGCTAACAGTGCAGCAAAGATAAAAGTGTGCTTATTTCAATTGCTCCCCAATTAAGATGGCAAACTTCTATCTTGGCTGCAGTGAGAGCCGTTATCTTATTTCCAACTTATCTTATTGTGGCACTTATCACTTATAGTGGAACAACTTGCCATCCGAAGTTGTGGGTGCTTCTTCTTCCTTATTCTGAGTAGTATTGTATTTATTTTTTTATTTTATTTTTTCTTGTGATATGAGAAATGTAATTGTTGGGAGGATCATTGTGAGGGAAACAGCTTAGCTTAGTGATGGCGAACCTTTTAGAGACCGAGTGCCCAAACTGCAACCCAAAACCCACTTATGCATCGTCGAGTGCCGAGTGGGTGTGGCCCATTGGATGGGCGTGGCCCACTGGGTGGGCGTGGCTGCGGTGGTAACGGCAGACTGGGTGGGACTAAAAAGTTCAATCAATCAATTCCAACTTTGCAAGATCTTTTTTTTCCCGCGAGAAGTTGAAATTGACTGATGGATTGAACCTTTTTTTTTTGTACACGGCGGTGGAAGCCTAAAGCAAAAAGGGTTTATAAAACCCAGCTGAAGGCCTAGGACTGGGGTGACAGTGCGTGTGTCCACAGAGAGGGCTCTGAGTGCCGCCTCTGGCACCCGCGCCATAGGTTCGCCACCATTGGCTTAGCTATTTCACCGTAAATCAAGTTTGAGAAAATCTTAACAGATAAAAATGATTTCAATTTTGTGGGAGAAAAGTCTCAGTGAGAATGGTGAAAACAGGACATATAACGCAACAAAGAGGACTAATCAGAAAAGGTTCTATATTGATGCTATTACCAATTGGATAAATGCTAGGTATATGTTTCTGTTTAACCTCTTTGTTACTAAAATACTAAGAACTGTATTAACCTGATGTTTGCAGAAGAGAACAATATGGAAAGAAGAGAAAAATCAAGGAAAGCTGTTATGTAGAGTACAATATGATAGAAATTGGCTATAATTGATTGTTGTGAAATGTGAACCTAGACAACATGTTATTTACTAAGCACCAGCTTGTCAGTTTTTTAAAAAAAATCAATAATATGTATATAAAAAGAAGTTGTGGGTGCTTCATTGCTGGAGGTTTTAAAGGAGAGACTGGACAGTCAGTTGTCTGAAATGGTATAGGGCAGAGATGGCGAACATTTTAGAGACTGAGTACCCAAAATCCGTCCCTGCCCTGCCCCCCTGCCTGCCCGAAGGGCCACTCACGCCTCCGTGGCCCGCCACATATCGCCCAGACCGCCCAGCAGTGCGAAGGCGGCCATGTCCTCCGCTTGCGCCCCACAGCATCCTCTGCACATGACGGGGCGCGAGGGCGGAGTCTTGTCCCCACTGCCCGGCTGCCATGTCCTTGGCTGCACTGGTCCGTGCAGGCCACGCTTGGGCGTGACTCCTCTGGGGGGGCTGCCTTTGAGGAAGGGACCAACTGTGGGAGGCGGGGCTGGGGCAATGGCACGCAAGCCCACAGAGAGGGCTCTGAGTGCTGCCTCTGGCACGCGTGCCATAGGTTCTAGTATAGGTCCTCCTGTTTGAGCGGGGGGTTGGACTAGAAGACCTCCATGGTCCCTTCCATTTCTCTTCAGATTGATCGATCTTGAGAGCAGTTATCTTAATATTGCTCACTTATCTTGTATTGTAAAAAATATCCCTGCCTTTGGATTTGTGCATATTGTTCCTGAAGGGGTTTTTTTTTTCCCCGAAAGGAGAGAGGCAGCAAATAATATTTAATTAATAAACATATTAAAAATACAAAACCTGCCAAGTTCATTTTTTGCCATTGTCTGAGCCCCTGGCACTGATCTTTCCTTCCCCCCCCTCCCCTTGTTGTCTTTTTTCTTGCTTTAAAGATGGAAGCCTCTTGCAACCCTGCCAGACAGAGCAAATGGCAAGATGTATCAGAAGAAATAAAGGTGATGTTTAAGACAGCTGTGAAGATACTGTATGAAAAGGGGAAAATGAAACACAGTCAAGCAAACAGATATCTTTGCTCTGGTAAACATGAAACACAGGCACACAGTGCATAGATACATGCTGAGATAGGATTGCACCTGATCAGGGAAGTATGTGCAAAAAAAAAAAAATTGTAGCCAATAATCGCATGCAATTGTTCCTCGTAGGTGTTACTGTTCCTAAACTGTGTCTCTTAACCCCACTCCTGAGCGATGGAGAGATAGAAAAGGCACTGTACAGGTAGTCCTCGACTTACAATCATGATAAAGCCCAAAATGTCTGTTGTTAAGTGAAACATTTGCTAAGTGTGCTTTGCCCCACATTACGATCTTTTCTGCCACTGTTGCTGCGTGAACCACTGAGGTGATAACGTTACTAACACAGTTGTTAAGTGACTCCAACTTCCCCAATGATTTTGCTTGTCGGACGGTTGCAAAAGGGGATCACATGACCCCGGGACATAAATACGAGTCAGTTGCCAAGCGTCTGAATTTTGATCACGTGACCAAAAGGATGCTGCAATGGCCGTAAGTGTGAACAACAGTGCTAAGTCTTTTTTTTCCGGTGCCGTCTTTGAATGGTCGCTAAAATGAACTGATGTAAGGCGAGGACTATCTGTATAGAGCATAAGTGGCTTTGTCTTCCTGGCCCCAAGAATAGAAGACGGGAAAACAATTAGAGGAGCTTGATACGGCCTAGTAAATTTAGATTCAATGCAGCAGATTTCGCTTTGCTCTCCACGATATTTAGATGTCCTCTTCTTTCTTTTATCTCCCTCCCAGCTATTGAAGATGAATTCGATTTTGCCTTAGGAAATCAGACACCAGCTTTTTTAAAGAAATGTGTTTGCTACATCCGGAAGATTGCCAACATCGAACGTTTTGTGAAAGTTCCCGAGATGGAGAAATACATGGACGTACTTCACGGAGGCGGGAAATTCCTGAGGGATCCAGAAGCGCTGGAGAAACTCGTGAAACTCAGGGATGAATTTGTACCTACCATTGTGGCTTCCTCCAATTTGAGGGTCTACACTTCGGTTACCCATTGTGACATCAAGTACGGTTACACCCAAGAAGTGGAGAGCCACTACATCGAAGGACTGGGCAAACAATTCTACGAAGACATGGTGGACATCATCCAAGCAACAGTGCAACAGAATTTTGACATAGAGACGGACTGGATTTATGATGAAGTCCTGCAACATTCTTCTTTGTGTAGATCCTACTCTTCCTTCTATGAATATAGATGTGATGCTAGAACGATAATGCGCAAATATCTCTTGCCTAAGAAAATGGGCCATGTTAATCCTCTTCTCCTATATGGAGGACCGTGCACTGGAAAAACATTCTTATTAGCAGAAGTAGCAAAGAAGGTAAAAACCAACAGCCCGCCTGTGATTTTTTTCCCCTACTGTTTTACACCTAATTGAAGACTACTTCTCTGTTTTATTTTAGCTCTATTCGTGGCAGGCTGTAATTAAAGCTTTCTATAGATAGCTTCCCTTGTTGGCTGTCCTATTCTTGAAGTAGCATATAGAAAGGAGAAAGCGTTTGACTGATTGAAGTTGATGGGCTCTTAAAGTAGCCACAACTTTTATTTCAGGCTCACAAAAAAAGGCTGAAGGGGGCACTTTTGTCTGTCTTTTGAATCGGTTTTGAAGCATGCACAATGAGAGAGTGAGAGTGAGAGAGAGAGAGAGAGAGATGAAAGGAAGGAAAAAAAGGAAGGAAGGGAAGGAAGGAAAGAAAAAGAAAGAAAGAAAGAAAGAAAGAAAGAAAGAAAGAAAGAAAGAAAGAAAGAAAGAAAGAAAGAAAGAAAGAAATCATACAAAATGTAGCACCTTGGTCAAACTGCCTCTTTTTTTTTTAGCAGTGTTGCAAACCACCATTTTGATAAAATCATGGCTTGTTGAAATGCATCTTTCCAGAACTGATGACAGGGATGGATTTAGGCCTAAGGTTTTGAAAAATGCACCACTGGGTGAGAAATCGGACTTGTTTACTGCCCTTCTTATATAAGCTGGAGCAGTGGTTCTTAACCTTTTTGAACAAATCGCCCCCTTGAGCCAATGAGGAAGTTGTCATCGCCCCCCTCTCAATCACAACATAGGAAATAATTCTTCAATTTATGCAAACACTTGTTTTGTTTTCTTTAAAATTGTCATCTGGACCTATCGATGCAAATAATTTATTTCCAGTCTTTTTCCCATATCTCAATTGTGTGAAAATTTTGGGTGCCACCCGTCACTTTATTCCCAAACTTCGTGATACATGTATTTCATTATTATCTTATTTATTCAAGACACTTAAATGTAGTGACCACTGAAAACAAAATTCAATGGCAAGAAAGTGAAATGCCCGAAAAGAAAAACAGTAACATTTAACGATTGAATTACAAGTGAAATTTAAGATGCAAAAAGAAATATAAAAAGGGCATAAAAACAAACCGCAATGCGCAAGAAGATAAGCGATGCGTATTCACATATGTACGGCGTTCTGTACTGAAGCTAGCTAGAGGAACATTTGAAAACACAATTCAATCCACTAATAGCGAGCAATCTGATGTTTTTGTACGACAGATATATAGCAATTCACTGTACGAAAAAGTCTCAAAAGTGTCCCCAAAATCTCTCGCTCCATCGCCCCCATATCGCCCCCTTTTCGTTCCTTCACCCCCGCATCGCCCCTTTTCATTCCATCGCCCCCCTGAAAAACGAAATCGCCCCCTGGGGGGCAATATCGCCCAGGTTAAGAACCACTGAGCTGGAAGATAAATCTGTTTTGGCTTGTAGAATGTCATCTTCAGCATTGCTAATACAGGTAGTCCTCACCTTATAACACTTCATTTAGTGACCCTGGGACACTGCAACCGTCATAAATGTGAGTCAGTTGTCAAGCACCCGAATGTAAACCATGTGACCACGGGGATGCTTCAAGGGTCATCAGTGTGAAAAATGGTCCTGAGTCACTTTTTGTCCATGCCGTTGTAACTTCCAATGGTCGTTAGACAAACTGTCTAGAACAGGGGTAGGCAACCTTGGCTCTTTTATGACTTGTGGACTTCAACTCCCAGAATTCCTGAGCCAGCATGGCTCAGCTTGAAAACTCTCTCTTTCCCCTCAGCATGGCTGGCTCAGGAATTCTGGGAGTTGAAGTCCACCAGTCATAAAAGAGCCACAGTTGCCTACTCCTGCTCTAAACTAATAAAGTCTACATTAATTAACATTAATTAAGCTTTCATATGTTCCTCTAGGTCAGGAGTAGGCAACCTTGGCTCTTTTATGACTCGTGGACTTCCACTCCCAGAATTCCTGAGCCAGCCTGGCTCAGCTTGAAAACTCTCTCTTTCCCCTCAGCATGGCTGGCTCAGGAATTCTGGGAGTGGAAGTCCACGAGTCATAAAAGAGGCAAGGTTGCTTGCCCCTGGTCTAGGACTAGCAGTATTGACTGTGTTTCTTGCTTGTGTGTCTACTAATTTGAACAATAAACCTCTTTGTACTTCTACATTTGCAGGCTTATGCATGGCTGAAGGAAGAAATGGGGCCCGAATCTGATCCTGTGGTGATTATAAGGTTTGTAGGACTGACAGAGAGGAGTACAGACCTGAGGAATCTGCTTCAAAGTATTTGTGAACAGTTGGCTGTTAACTATCGATGCCTTGTGCACAGCTACCCGAAAAAGATCCACGATCTCCAAGACTTGCTTGTTAACCTTCTGAATGAGTCTTCCTTTCACCGACCCCTGGTTTTAATTTTCGATGCCCTGGAACAACTGGCCGAAAACGATGACGCCAGGAAATTGTGGTGGCTTCCTGTCCACCTGCCCCGTTCGGTGCGAATTATCTTGTCCACCCTGCCGAACAAACACGGCATCCTGCAAAAACTGAAGAGCCTTATCTACGACGAAGACAACTACATTGAATTGACAGCCAGGGACAGAAAGATGTGCAGTCAATTCCTCAAGCACCAGTTGCTCCAGGTGAAGAGAAAAGTGACCTCGGGCCAACAAATCTACGTCAACGAAGCATTCTCCAAGTGCACCTTGCCTATGTTTGTCAACTTAACCTTTCAAGAAGTTCGAAAGTGGAGATCCCACAAGGATGTCGATGGGTCTTCCCTCTGTGTCACTGTTCACGACAGCATAGAACAGATGTTCTGGTCTCTGCAGAACAGCTGTGGGCCCAAACTTTTATCACGAGCCCTTGGCTATATCACAATGTCCAAATCCGGCTTGAGTGAAATGGAATTGGAAGACATTTTAGCTCTTGACAATACCGTCATGCTTGAACTAAGTCAGAGCATCCAGAACCTCAACCCGCTGAGGGTACCTTACATCTACATCGCAAAACTAAAAGAAGGATTAGCAGGATACCTGATACAAAGACAAGTGAAAAATGTGACTCTTCTAGTCTGGGCTAATCGGCACCTACAGCTGATTGCCCAAAAGATTTATCTTCACAACGAAGGAGATGTGCATGAGATGCACACTGTCATTGCAGAGTATTTTCTAGGAGTTTGGTCTGGAGGCCGAAGGAAATCTCTGTACGGTGAAGATCAATATCTGAACGGCTGTCTGGACAGTGACAGCAGGAGTATGAATGACGAGGAGAGACACATGATGGACCACGTGAATTTTGATAGGCAATCTCCTGATCAGCCTTGGGTCTTCCAGTGCAACCCTTTGGAGCCCGACATTTTTTTCATTAACCACCGGAAAATGACTGAGCTTTTGCACCACCTGACCAAGTGTGGGAAAACCGATGACATTTTGTACGGTGTCATCATGAACTTCAGCTGGCTTTACACCATGATTAAAATTGGGCAGTTCGACAAAGCCCTTTCCGATGTGGAGCTGGCCTATAACTACTCACAAGAAAAAGAGCTGAAGTTTTTAGCAAACACACTGCGGGCCATCAAATACAAAGTGATAAAATACCCAGGGACCCTTTCCGCTGAATTACAACAGAGGTTACTCCCAGTGATAAGTTCCTTGCCCAAACTGAGACAGCTTCTTCTCGAGTGTGACAAAGATGGTCCTAAATATTGTTCTATAGTTCCACTTCATTCTTCTATGGATGTAACTTATAGTCCTGAAAGACTACCTCTCTCTTCCAACTGCTCTCAAGTGACCGAAATCTTACCTACCTTTAATCCAAGTATAGTTATTGTTGCTCTAGAAAATGGGTCTATCAGTACCTGGGATGTTGAGACTCGCCAGCTCTTAAGGCAAATTACAACCACTCAGTCAGTTATTTTGGGCATGAAACTGACAAGCGATGAAAAATACCTTGTGGTGGCCACCACCAAGAACACGCTCTTGATTTATGACAATCTAAACTCTTGTCTTCTCTCTGAGGTGGAAATTAAAGGATCGAAGCATAGCGGAATTGGAGTGAGTTCCAGTTTTATAAATGGTTTTACCCTCTCAGTAAACCACGTACTGTCATGGTTGGAAGCTAGTAAGGACATTACAGTGATTGATCTACTCTACGGATGGCCACTATATCAGTTTCACTGTTGGTATGAAGTCACCTGCGTCCAGTGTTCAGGAGATGGGATGTATGCTTTCTGTGGACAACATCTGAACACGGCATCAATATTTCATTTGGGCAGCGGCGACAAGCTAGCCACAGTGACCTCCGAATTTTTGGGAGGGTTTGTCAAGTTTCTTCTCATCTTAGATGCAGCTCAAGAGATGGTCATGGTGGACAGTGAAGGGGCCCTTTCTATTTGGAACACAGAGGAAATTGCGCATCCTCAATTAATGGATGACTTTGATTGTAGGAGGGGGGATAGTGATTTTGTCAGCCTTGAACTTGCTGAAGACCAAAGTGCCATTTTAATCTGCAAGTCTCTCAGTATTGACCTGCTGGACACTAGCATGTGGAAAGTTGCAGAAAAGTTTAAAGCGAAAAGGAATGAGCGCTTTGTCTCAGCCGCTTTATCCAAAAACGGAGATTATATCGTTGCATCTATTGAAAATACCTCTGCCATTTTCATTTGGAGGAGAGATACCGGACAGTGCATGGCGAGCTTACAAGAAATCTCAGGAAACATTGTCCGGTTGATTAAGTCAAATCATCACAACATGCTGCTCTCCTTGTCCACCAGTGGGGTTCTTTCGGTATGGGACATTGATATTATCACTGCAATGTCCAACATTGACAAAACAGGCAAGCCAATCCAAAGACTCGTTTTGCCCTCCAAGGGGGAAGCAATTTACACACTGGATGGATCTGAAGCTATCCATAAATGGAACTTCAGCACAGGCTTCATTGAAGCAGTATTTAAGCATGAAAGCCCGGTTGAAAGATGCGTCCTAACTTCCAATGGGAAATTGATGATTACGTCGGATGACAAATGCAGCCAGTATGTGTGGCAAACGGGTTCCGGCGAAAATCTCTTCCGCATCAATGGGCAGAGGATATGCCAACTGTTGATCACCCACAATGACCAGTTTGTGGTCTCCCTCTGTGAGCAAAATGCATCAAGGGTGTGGAGGCTGTCTACCGGACACCGCGTCTGCAACATTCTTGTGGCCTTGCAGAACGCGTTTATAACCACCGCGAACACCTTTGTGGTTGGCATGACAAAGAACAAAATCTTAGCGGTCAGCCTGTGGACTGGCAGCATAACCAAAAAGTTCTCTTGTGACGATGGCATTGCCATTGTGGATATCAAGCTCATCCCAGACTGCCCGGATATTGTGGTCTTTATCACGTCTGCTGAAACCGTGAACATCTACAGTCTTACTGAGGAAGTCGTCTCTAGACGTTTACAGCTGCCTAATAGTGTCCTGAAAACGTTAGAGGATTTTGAAATATCGCCCAATGGAAAACTGGGGATTCTCTCTTGCGGGGATGAGAATATCAACATCCTGGACCTTCACAGCGGCAAGCTTCGAGTGGTCCACGCTTCGGGTATCATATGGAGGCAGAAGCTATCTCAGGACGGACGCTACCTGGTCTACATTTGCTTTCGCAGTGGGGAAGACGATGAGGATAACAGTGGCATCTCCATCTTAATTGTAATGAGGTTGGCCGATGGCAAAAACATCGGGGCCTGCTCACTGTACAAAACCCCCACTTTCCTAACTCTTTCCCAGAGGCACCTGAACATCATTGTGGGCTTCGACGACGGCAGCATCGCCACGTACACCGTAGTGGATCGCGTGGATGCCGCCCTGAAAATCAAAATTGCTACGTCCAACAGCCGGCAGATTTTCAACAACGCCACTCAGTTGAGGCCAAAGTGTCACCATTATAGCTTCAAGGCCACCGCAGACTGCATCTGGAGGGAATCCACAGAGGTGTTTGCGAGAGACAGTCCCATCACCGTGGTGGATGCGGAGAGCAGCGACGCCACTCCCACCAAAAAACACAACTATTGCTACGACAAAGTGTGCTCCGCCATCGACTGCAGAGTGTTCACCGCTGGCAACTGAGCATCGATCAAGGAGTCAGCTCGCCCTTCCGCGTATCCGATATTGCGTTTATTTGTATTTTGGTGCAAGCCCGTTTTTAAAAGAGCTGAATCAAAACTAACACAATTCATGAGGCAAAGAGAAAAATACTCAAATGGGAGGCTTGGTCCACAGTCTTGACTGAAACTTTCAAGCAATATTGTCTGGTGCAGTCTGCCATTTTTAAAATGGTGGTGAAGAAGGCTTTTAAATAAGTAACGAGGCTATATTTCATATTGGAATGAGGTGGATCAAGCATTTTTTTAAAAAAAAAAAATCCAGGTGACCAGAAGCAATTTTAAATTGATGCTAACTTGCAAAAAAAAAAAATGGGCTTTTTTCTTTCCTTCTGATGGTGTATAACCGAGATGTTATATCTCACCCTGAAAGAGTTTGATGCATTCCATAAACATTTGAAATAGCAGCTATTAGAACCCCTACACAAACATACAAAATAATTGTTTTAAAAACAAACAAACAGCAAAGGGATTTTTCAGCCAGCGAATAGCACTAGTTCTCCCAGGTTTCAGTCAGGACGATCATACCGTATAACTCTTTTGTCTCTACATTTGGTGATCTGTAGCGTTGATTCGTTCTGCTTGGTTTTTCCTCTTAACCTGCTTCATGTAGAGTAGCAGGTGAATTAATGAAAAAGTCACCACATAAGGAGCTAAGAAATTGTCTTTGAATTAAAAACATTCTGAGTTGCAAACGTTTTAAATGTCGACTAAAGTTTTCGATTGCAAAAGTATAATTTTTACAAAAGTGCTGTAAAGCAGGAGTGTGCAACTTGGGCAACTTGAAGATTTGTGGACTTCAACTCCCAGAATCCCCTAGTCAGCCACGGTGGATTCTGAGAAATGAAGTCTACAAGTCTGAAAAGTTGCCCAGGTTGGACCATGTTTTCAAGGAAGCAGCTTGGTCTGGATCTCGTGCTGTTTTCTATATTCTTCACAACGACTTTCAGTATGATGATGAAGAGAAGATTTTTCCATCCGAAAGAGCATTAGGAACCGTCCACCCCATTCCATCCTCTCTTTTTACATCAAAGGACACCCTTCTGATCCGTTCTGTTCTAAGGAATCCTTGCAGGGATCAGAACGGTAAGGATCACACATCCTGACCCATTTAGTGCTTGCCTTATTGTCGTTCCTGTTCTTTCCTGCGTGAAACACAGATGCGATGACCAAATTACTCGGGGACTCAAGTGACACACTCGCTTATGTGCTGAAAAACAAGCAAACAGACAAAAAAATAATAATAATTCTGGCTGCCTAAAGAGTTCTTTACTGTTACACTTTGTAATAAATTTCTTACTTCTCTGTACAATATCATACTCTTCCCTTCCTGCTTTGGGCTGGCCTTTTATAAGATTTTATCACTTTGAAACCTGGGGTTAGGAAAAATAGGGATGTAATTCTGGTGTTGTTGTTTTTTTAGCTCCTGTCCTCCCGTTCTCCTATTCCTGCCTTTTCTAACCTAGAGCTCTCTCCAGATAGCCTTTAGAGATTATGGGACTTGTAGTCCAAACACATCTGTATGAATGATGCCCTGTTGGACACGCACAGCTCGATTAAGTATGTGAGTTTCAGATGGATAATCCCTCCCATTAATTACAGAAAGTAGAAAGTACATCTCCTAGTGTGGCTAGCTTATGTGTGTAGGCCTGTCTTCCATTTTTAAAATAAAGGCGACTTGTGTCCCATCCCAGCTGGTGTGCATTTTGTAATAGAAATTTATCATGCCAGTTTTGTCAGCCCATATTTATTTATTTATTTATTTATGAGACTTATATACCGCTTTAAGTGCAAGCACACTCTCTAAGTGGTGTACACCAGTAAGCAATGTATATATATATATTTACATTGCCCCCAACAATCTGGGTCCTCATTTTACCTACCCCGGAAGGATGGAAGGCTGAGTCAACCTTGAGCCGGTGAGATTTGAACCGCTGACCTGCTGAACACAGTCAGCTAAAGTGGCCTGCAGTACTGCACTCTAACTGCTGCGCCACCTCGGCTGTTGTATTTTATGACTCCCGAGGATCCTTCTTTTCAAATCCCCTGGAGCAGAAGCTCTCCAAGCTGATTTGCACAGGGGTGAGGCACACACTTCATCACAGACAGAATTTGCACATCACTTGCTGAGGCTCAGTTTCCTTTTTGGAAATAAACATCGTATACTCAGCCTCCCGGGAACGATGAAGTCTTGGATTCTCACATGACGCCAGGCAAACGAAAATTGCGTGCAAGTGTGTGAAGATGCTGCTCTAGATCTTCTTCTTCTTGTGCCATATCCGTTATCGGACGTTGGCGATTATGTTGACGATCCTGTTTTTATCAGCAGCCGCATGCTGCTGAGTTTTGTCCAAACCAGTCGCTTAGATTTTGAAGCCACAACGTTCTTCTTCTGCCTGGTCCTCGTTTGCCTTCAATCTTTCCCTGGAGAATTAAATGGAGTATGCCGTATTTTTCTGGGTGTTGCATCACATGTCCGAAATATTCGAATTTTCATTTTTTTAATTGTTTTGGTGATTTCCTTTGGCTTTCCCAGGCAGCTGATCACCTCCTCATTTCTGATCTTGTCAACCCAGCTTCTACGTAACAGCCGCCTGTAAATCCACATTTCAAATGCTTCCGGTCTCTTCCGGTGTCCTTCTGTCAGAGACCAACTCTCTACTCCATAGAGCAGGATAGAAAAAAATATAGCATCTGAAAAGCCTGATTTTTAGTCTTAGGCTTATGTTGTGACTACAGAAGACCTTTTTCATTTTGAAGAATGCTGCTCTAGATACTTGTGGGTTTTGGAGACTGTGGAAACAGCTGCCTAATCAAGTTGAATTTTACAACAGAGAAATTATACATTAGGATAGGTGTGCCTGTTGACCAAATAACGTTTTGTGCTTTAGTTGAATCGAGCTATAAGGTGCATTTCCTTACAGGTTGGTTTGGTGTGGTTTTTTTTCAAACATTTTAACATTTGAAAGTCATTCGTCAAGCTTTGTATACAGGTAGTCCTTGATTTAACGACGGCAATTGAATTTCGGTTGCTAGTGAGACTTTTAAGTGAGTTTTGTCCCGTTTTACGACCGTTCCTGCCACAGCTGTTAAGTGAATCCCTGCAGTTGTTAAGTCATTAGCAGGTTGTTAAATGAATCTGGCCATTGACTTGACTGGTCAGAAGGTCGCAAAAGCCGGACCCCAGGACACTGCGACCGTCACTAAATAGGAGTCCGGTTCCAAGCGTCTCAATTTTGATCACGTGACCAGGGGAATGTACTATAAGCGCAAAAAGTGGCCCTAGGTCTTTTTCTTCAGTGCCGTTGTAACTCTGAACGGTCACTAAATGAACTGTTGTAAGTCGAGGACTCTTTATATTTTTCATGTGTTGGTTTTATGGTCTTGTTTTATAAATTTTTCTCTGTTTTTTTATTGTGGCAAACCACCCTGAGTTTGATGTAGACATGCAGATAGTTCTTGACTTAGCGACCGCAACTTTGGTCGCTAAATGAGGAGATCGTTAAATGAGGCGAGTTCCAACTTTTTTTTTTTGCTGCAGTCACTGCTGGTTATTAAGTGGATCACGGGGTTATTATGTGTACCTGGCTTCTCCCGTTGACTTTGCTGGCCAGAAGACCCCAAGAAAGACCCTCCGGGATGCTACAATTGTTGTAATACACAACGATTTGCCTCACAATCAAATCTGGGATGGTCGTAAGTGTGAGGAGCAGAACTATGTCCCTTTTTTCAGCACCGTCATAATTTGGGGCCGTTGTTAAATGAATGCTAGATAGTAACTCGAGGACTACTTGAAAAGATAAAATAGATATTTAACAGCTTTTATTTTATTTTATTTTTTTTAGAAAAAAAAGGCATATCCTTGGCAGATATTTTAAAGAGTGTGAATAAAACACATCCCCCCCACAAGTTTTTTTTTTGTACAGAATTCTATGGCCATCCTACATATAGGATGGCCAACCTGTTTCAACCAGGATCTGCTCCACGTTTATCCCCAACAACTGTACACTGTTTACTTATCGCACCTGTTTCCTGATGTGTCTTAACAATTCCAACGCCTGTATATTAAGCCCGACCGTTAAAACATCGATTAAAAACCAATTTAAAAGAGCTGCATATAATAAAGCGACTTCAGGGTTCTCAAAACTTCTCCCCCCCCTCAAAAAAAATAAAAATGCTGTGTCTTGTTTTCTGACACATTTCTGCAGTTTTTTAAATTGTATGTATGTATATATATGTATGTATGTATGTATTTGTTTTCTGAGGTTTTCACGGGTGTTTGTATGTAGGTCTTTGGTTATTCGGGTTTTCTCCCACGTAAAATTGGAAGTGTCTTGGCGACGTTTTGACGAAGTCCCATTCGTCATCTTCAGGCTGGTGTTTTCGGCTTCGTGCTTCTAGGAGCAAATTGCAATTTGCTCCTAGAAGCACGAAGCCGAAAACACCAGCCTGAAGATGACGAATGGGACTTCGTCAAAACGTCGCCAAGACACTTCCAATTTTACGTGGGAGAAAACCCGAATAACTAAAGACCTACGTGTGTGTGTGTGTGTGTGTGTGTGTGTGTGTGTGTGTGTGTGTATGTATGGCTGGACAGCCCTCTCCCATGGATAGTTTTATTAGTCGTTGGTTGTAAATGGCAAACATGGATGGATTGAGTCCTTGTAGTGTGTTCCAACTGTACAAATCTGTGATTCAGTGATTTCAGACAACATAATGAGGTAAGAGACATCGAGGTTTCCTTCATTTCTTGAACCAATGTGGGCAGATGTACACCTGAAAGGAGCCCACTCTGAAGACTTTGGAGTCCTGGGTACTGTCTGAGTTTGGTTGTTTTCTTGCAGACGTTTCATGACCCAACTAGGTAACCTCATCAGAGCTAGAAGGGAGAGGGTTTTGCAGAGGAGGAGGAGGAGAAAAGGACTCTGGGGTCCTTGACGCTCTCTGAACTGGGTTGTTTTCTTGCAGACATTTCATGACCCAACTAGGTAATATCATCACAGCTAGAAGGAAGAGGGGTTTGCAAGGAGGAGGAAGAGGATTCTGGGGTGCTTGGTGCTCTCTGAGCTTGCTTGTTTTCTTGCAGATGTTTCATGACCCAACTAGGTAACATCATCAGAGCTAGAAGGGAAAGGGATTTGCAGATAGGAGGAGGAGGAGAACACAACTGAACGCCTGCAAGAAAACCACCAAGATCTGAGAGCACCAAGGACCCAATGGTGGGATTCAGCCAGTTCGCACCACTTCAGCAGAACCAGTAGCTAATTTTTTGTTGCCCAGGCCCAGAATGGACTTCCAGAAGCGGCATCCACGCAGAGAACCGGTTGTTCACCTATCTGAATCCCATCACTGCAAGGACCCCATAGTCCTCCTCCTCCTCTCCACAAACCCCACTCCCTTCTAATATTGATCATGTTACCTAGTTTGGTGATGAAGCGTCTGCCAGAAAACCACCCAGCTCACAGAGCACCAAGGACCAAGGACCCTACAGTCGTCTTCTCCTTCTTCTTCTTCTTCTTTTTCTTCTTCTTCTTCTTCTTCTTCTCCTCCTCCTCCTCCTTCTCCTCCTTCTCCTTCCTCCTTCTCCTCCTTCTCCTTTCTTCTTCTCCTCCTCCTCCTCCTCCTCCTTCTTCTCCTCCTCCTCCTTCTCCTCCTCCTTCTCTTTCTCCTCCTTCTCCTCCTCCTCCTCCTTCTTCTTTCTCCTCCTCCTCTTTCTCCCTGCAAACCTTTCTCCCTTCTAGCACTGATGATGTTACCTAGAACCAAGGATCCCACAGCTCAACCTTCAACTACAAATAATTCCATCTGAAGATTTTATAAGTCCAGAGCCCCACCTAGTACAGATGTCACACAGCTAAAGCATCTTTCACCCCCTCAGCCTGTGAGTGGTCACCTCCTCTGTCAGGTGATGTAACAACAATGCGTACAATAACGTAATGAAGTCAGAGCAAATGGTTAAAGTGTTAGAGCAAAGGGGTATTTCATTGCCTGGATTGCGATGATCCATTTCCCTTGTGGTGTCATATCAATTGGCAGAAATTGCTGCTCTCTTCCTTCTTCTGAGACAGGCAACTTGTCTGCCACTACACAAACCCACCACAAAATGGGGCCAGGCCTGGATTGAAACGCGTTGGACTTCCGAAACGGTCTGCATTTTGAACCTCAGTGACCCTTTTTTTTTTGGTAAGGAAACAAATACTCAACTTGGAGAATGGCGACGGTATACGATCCTCCTGCGTAAAACGCCTGTCTAGATTACGAATAATGCCTTTTCTTAAAATTGTTGGCCACCAATAGGATCACCCTGAATGTTTTTATGTAAACTTTGTATTGTTGGGGGAGGAGTTGCCCCAGTCAAGAGATTTATATTTTCATAAATGTTAAATTTAGTTAACTTTTGTTACAGGGTTGTTTAAACTAGAAGCCTATTGCTATCCTCAACAGTATATTTGTCTTGTCTACACCTTGTTTGTATGAATAAATAGAAACGCCATAATGAAACCTTTCTGGGGTTGTTGTTGTTTTTCTCCTTGCAGTTTACGTTTTCCACAAATAACCACAAGGGCAGGCAGTCCTCAATTTACAACAATTTCCGCTGGTAAGCGAGACCGGAGGGTGACGTGAATCCGGGGAACAGTCCAAGCGTCGTAAATATATGAGCCGCTTGACAAGCATCCATTTTTTGATCAGGTGGCCACGAGGATGCTGCAACTTTCCTGACAGTGGGAACCATTAATCAGCGGAATGACTTTCCTCCAAAAGGTGTGGGTTCTCCATCCCTGGGGTCTTTCAAAAAGAGACTGGACAGCCATTTGTTCAGAATCATGTTATAGGATCTCAGGAGATTGGACTA